CAACTATTTGTCCTACTAACGCAGCGGTTCTCCATTGTCGTAAGAGCGTTGTGGTTAGGCTGTGGGGCTTAGTATACAGAGGACATAATGGCTTAGAGACTGAAGACCGCTGAATGAAAAGAACCAAACCACATCGAGATGGCGTTCGTTCATTGACATGCCTAACAAGGCAATCAATACAATTTGGCTTCGAATCGGCGTTTCTTACTTAGGAGAGATAGCACGTAGAAGGTGTCAATTATGTACGGGAAGCAGCGTATGAAGGGCGATTCGGAAGAGGCAGGGGGTGACAAAAACAACGGAAAGGTTCACCTTGCCACGGCGGATGGTGGCGGGCGCACAGGAGTTTAAAGATTATGTGAGTGGGATAACTCCACGTTCTCTTGACCTAAGCCTGCAGTGAAGGAAGCCCAGCGAAGGAAGGAAGGAAGGGAGGGAATCACCGCTTTGTGCCTCATTTGAATACGAAGGATGATTGGCCATAGGAATAAATATATAATAATAAACTGCTAATTGCTTTTTGCACCTTCGATCCCTTTCTTTGGTTCTGTACGAAATAGCTGATCGTCTATATACGTTTTCGTCAATATGTAAGAGACAGGCAAACTGCTATTGGTACACGCATTGTATTGTACAAAGTGAAGCCAATGCATCGCCGAACGAACATATAGTGAGAATATAGTGTTTCCTTACGATGTTCTTAAACGGGTAAGAAAGTCCTATGGGCCACCGTAATACGTACATGGAATCCTATGTATTATGGCGTAAAGCACTAATTGAGTATTGACCCCTAGAGTCATAGGTTCGTAACCTACATTTCCCTTTCAATAGGTGGGCAGACGAAATTCAATTAACTTCACTAAGGTAGATTGATCGAATAGATAGATAGATGCTCCTGCTTCCTCGTTTTATCAATATCAAGACATCGCAGCCGGTACAGTTGGGCTCAATATATTGAACCTTATCGCTTATTATATGTGTTATATAGAAATATCAATATAATCGCGTCCTTGAAACTGCTACCATATGCCACACGATACCAGCACAATTGAGTTGTGAATGATAAATAAACTTCTTCTGCTTCTGGTTGGACCATCAAACAAGACCGATGTCTTTCCTCAGAGCTCGTACCCATTCGTACTCTCGAAGTAGCGCTAGGTTCGACGTTAGCGCCACTAAATACTATATTAGAAAGGCTACCGTTAGTATTCTTGTGCCGTGAATATCCCCCTACTTATTGATCGTAATTGTTTGAGTGATGAACAAATTTGAATTTGTTTTATTCCACCAAAAAAAAAAGCTGCTTCTTAGTCTCAAAGGTATGCATTTCAAAGACGCATCCCAAGTATAATATTAAAACGACTGAAACGTTTCGTAGGTCAGCTATGGAAGTTCTCAAGCCACCCACTTAACCGAACGACAGAAATGCTTTGCTAACGTAGAGTATTGCTATAATGTTGACGATACACGACATTTTTCTTACGGGATAGTTCTTGAACGCAGAAATTATCTGTGTATTAGTAAGTTAAATATGGGACAGGCACCGGCAATCATTTCGAAACCTCTTACGTATACTCGAACGTACTCATCATACCTGAAACTCCTAGTTCTATTTACAATAACTGATGGGACGCAAGTAGGGATAGAAGTATTCGATAGGGCATGAGAACAGTACACTGGCTTCTTTTTGTGTTTGCAAGGGTTTGACTGCTGGCAACTGACCACAAAAATTGCAGACGGGTTTTGCTCGTTTCCCTATTTCTCCAGGGATATTTACCAAATTGCAGAAATGTTTGGTGCTCGATTCAGGCAGAAAAACACAGGAGAGCTTACGCTGTGTGAAGAATCGGTAGAATCTATTGTCTGAGCGAGTCGGAAACTTAACCAGTGTATTGAAGGCCTTCGTCAGCAAACGGTCACTGGCGGTTAGGTAACGGGGAGCTGGCTTTGGGAATTTTGACTTTCCATTTTTCGCTTGAGTGACCGTGGATACGCATATCACCATTTTTTTTGTACCAGAAGAAAGCGTCAAACAAGAATAATAACTTAGCATTGCGCCCAAGAGAAGCTGGAGAGAGAGAGAGCAAAATCAAAAAAGCATCTTTTCTTCCAAAGTTCCTGCCTCGCAAAGCGACCCTTGACGCAATCAAAGCAACAGTTCAGCTATTGCAAACGGCGCCACGGTAACTTACGGTTTACTGTTTGTAGTGAGTTCGGGACCATGCTAACACCACGTTTACGCCCTGGCGATGCTTCTCAATTGGAAAAAATAGATTTCGATCTGATATAAATTTATCTTAACATTTTTTTCTACTAACTTCTTATATAAGTAGAAATATTGCTTGCTTGCTTCATTCTAGTATTTTGTACTTTTGCTATTAAAATGATTTATTTTGTTTGTATTATTAGCCATCATGTTGATGATTTCTAATCAGTTACAACAGCTCATCGGTTAATACTAACCCAAAAGTAGGTTACGTCTGTGTTACGCACTCGCGAAGCATGTTCTCCCACGGAACGAGACAACGAATCAGCGACTGCGTTTCACGCATCTTTGCACGCAAATACGAACCCATAGACGGTCCTTCGTTACGTTCGTGTTCTATCTACATTATGCTTTTGTTCATACCTACTGACTGACTTCATTCCGTTGCTTGGCTCTGGAACACGCCACGCTCAAAGATGCTTCGTCTACGGAGCATGGCAAATTGTCTAACACTCTACCGAATTTATCTATGACGGCATGTCTCTTCGCAGATGTCCGCTTACATACGACTTGATTGTTGCTCTATATGTAACCCCATTGCTTACTTTTTGCAACGTGCCTGCTCACACCCTATCGAGCGCTGCAGTTGTGAAGACCCTATGGTTGAGTGCCAAATATATAGAGATGGTGTATGATATACCGGAAACAGCCGCGGGTCTAGGTCCGTCTCAAACCTCGCTGCCGACTTTGTTGGTCCCAGCGGAAATGCTAACGTTGAACGGCGTGTCGCATGCAAAGGAGCTTTCCGCTGCGTCAGACAATTCTTTGAGCCGACTTCGTCTATTCCCGTCGCTTCCATACAAACTCCCCAACAAGGTTTCCAACAGCCGCCAGACCGACCGAAGTGGCGCCTAATGGAGTAGAGGCTGTGTGAGAGCCCAATACCGAACGACACCGCTTTCTCTGCCATGAGTCTGACAACTGACTCCGACTCACCGTAAAGCGACCCAGTATTTTCCTTTGTGCTCACTCGTGTCTCAATGCGACATTGCAGAAGACAGTTCATAGGGACGCCAGGATCACGACTGTATGAGGCTGGACGGAAAAAGGAACAGTAATTCAATTGCTACTCTACGCGGGAAAAAAAGAAGATAGTTTAAAAAGGAAGGCTTCGTCTATTGCTTCTCCATTCTCTTGCTGTTTCTATCTCTCTTTCTCTGATTATTCTATCAACCTAAACTGCGTCTTTTGGGTCTTACGTTGAACCTCGGGTTAGCGTCCCAGTGTGTTGCCTGTAGCGCCGTGGCGTGAGTGAACTGCAGTGGGGGACGCAAATAAGAGAGATGGCCTCCTGTGCCGTTCCGCTGATATCTCACAAAGGATAGAGCTTGCCCTTGTGCTCCGCTGTGCTGCTCAGTTTTCATCAATCTCAGAGCTGCATCAGAGGCAACGTCTTCCAGCGCTATGTCTCTGTCTGGCTTGCTCCCTCCTTTTCAAGCTCCGCCTCGAAGCCCATTCGCATGATCGCAAATAGGACGCCGACGCTATCACCGCTACAAGAGTGACTTTGTCAGTGCTCGTGTCGCTGCTGCCTACGCCCTAACCGAGTGGCGCAGATGAACGGATCTCGCCAGTCAGTCCGTCAGTAAAGGGACTCGAATCGGTTGGAGTAGCTCAAGGTCAACCTAAGTACCTTCTAAAGCTTCACAAGCCAGCGAACAAAGCAGAACAAAGTCTAATGGTTTCTTACGAAGGCAAATTAAAACGAAGAATGTACATGTTACAGAAAAGAGTACCCATGCTCAATGCATGCTGCTATCGGATCGTAACGATACGATTTCTCAGCCGTTTATCATGATATACTAATGATAGGGATTAACAGAGATTCAAACAATGCGTAAACTGGCTACACAAAACATATATACGTATATAGGCAACGGTTAAGTTTGAAAATTGTTACGGGCTCGCGTGCAGCTTGATGCGTTATCGGGTATTTTCTTGTAGCCGTCCTATCAATACCACGGCAATGACGATCGTTTTCAGCATTAGACGGTCAATAAATTCAATACTAGAGGAACATTCTGCATATAGATTTCTTCGCGCTCAGGCGTTCTATACTAACTGGTTCCGTTCTGCGGAAGTGAAAATTATGTATGCAAACAGACTTCCACATATCTGTGTGTTTAAATAGGCTGTACAGAAAGTAGACACAGAAACTAGTAAGGGAAAGAAAGCTATAAGGAAAGCCAGTATCTAACAAGGTACAGAATCTGCTGGTGGACGGCCAATTTACTCCTTTCGTCTTAGTAAACCAACAGAATATTTTTCAAACAAAAACCGATAAAAAATCAATGAAAACATTGAAAAATATCAATAGTATCGATTTCTCTGCAGAGCACCAACTATATTAACCTGTGTGCTATCGCATGCATGACACATTCGGTCCTTGTTCGTTTGTAAACAAAACGTGATAACTAGAAGATAACTAGATGAAACTTTGTTACGGTTGCTTTAAATAGATTTCATCCGGCCTACTAGTTAGTCGCTCACGTTAAAGCTGGCACAGGCGATAGGGATTATGCAATCTAACAGCGGAGTTAAGATCTGCTTAAGTAAATCTTTGTAAAGTTACGTTCCGACAAGGACGATGAAAATTCCTTTTGGCCGAGCCCTATTTCATTATTTGTATTTTTATTTTCGCTGGTATACTGTCGTAATATGCTCGTGAAGGAAGAACAACCATGTCCCAACCATAATCTTGATTGAACGCAGCTTGTAATGTAAACAAACCTACCGTTCATATCGATCGGCTCTCGTTGAGCTTCTCGAGCAATCTTCTGTTTTTGCTGACGAGGGCGCAATAGGCCGGGGCCACTGGAGGGCCCTGGCTGACGTTGATTCCACACACAGCACAACAGAACAGAATAAGATACACACTCACAGACGCAATTCAATCGTGGTACTTACAGGAGAACCAAGCCTGCTAGTATGTAGTAGCTCAGCACACGAAAACAGGATCGAAGTTTCCCTTTCACCACTACTACCGCGGCCACTATAAGTAGAGAAAAAACGAAAGTGCACCAGGGGAATTGGAAGGCGTGCAGTTCTTTCGAGCAACTCGTGCCGTCTTGTCGATCGCGCAGAGCACCATCACAGAGGTTTCTGTAAGCCGCGGGCTGGTTCTCGGATAGACAGACCTCTTGGACGACCGGAGACACAATGACTCAAGGCAAGTGAGGGACGGCGCCCACCACGTGATCGGCGGAGATTTCGGGGGGCTCCGCTTGGGGGCGCCACCTGGGGTGGTGAACGAGGGACAAGCGCGCAACGGCGGTAGGCAAATAAAGAAATAGTGAGTCAGCTCAACTAGAAGTAGGATGATCACGCCTTTTGCTGCGATGAGATGCGGTGCTATGATGGTATCCTACGATTCTCAAGCTATAAAACGACAAAAAGTAAAAGAGGCTTAGAGATCAAGACGGACAGAAATAGGTGTGGATATGGGTGGCCCTTGTCGAGATTGAATGACCCGCTACCGAGACCGACGGAAAGGAGATCGCCGTCAGGTAAAATCATCGGTGGGGAAAACAATGTCAGGGATAACCGGGACAGCGGGGTGAAGAGAGGGGTAATTGGCCAAACCATGAAGCTTTAAAAGGTTAATAACCCTAGCGTACCTGGATAGCTTGAGAAGCAGCTGGTTAACGGGAGTAGCTTCCCAAAAATGCCAAGTAAAGTCGATCGCACAGGCGAGGCCTCAAAAATCTTCGCCAGCCAGCCCACAATTGTCGCTCACCCATAAGCCAACCAAGTGTTTAGTAGTCAAAAGCCTTAACGTTAGGCCAAGCCCGGGTCATCCGTACCCCGATATTTGCCTCGGTATCGGAGGACACGCAAACCTGGGAAGGCGTGAGAGAAGGCTACGTAAGTGGAATTTTTGAGCTTACATTGCCTTCGGTACAGGCCGCCAAACGAATAAGCGACCAGGAACTTTCCTTACACCCACTTTTGTACCTGGTTAGGTGTTCATTCGATGGCAGTGAGTAGAAAGGAGAGGTGACAGGAAAAGGGAAAACCGGCCCTCAGGGCTTTTGATGGCAGCGTCTCACACTATTGTGTATAGCAAATAACTGGATGTTAGCTGTGAATGCGATCAGCCCCTCCCCCTCCCCCGCTATATGCCACCGCTAATGGGTGCAACTTCGATTAAAACCTGGCTATTTGTGGTTATCTCCTCCTTTTCCCTCACAGGATATTCTGGACAGATACGGTGGATTGCCACTGGTACCTGCAGATAAAATATTCATTGTGGTTATACAGTGATAATCAGAAACTCATTAGCTTGAGTGAAGGCAGTATTAGGTGCAATACAAACGATTATCATACATAGTAAATCGGAAGGGAAAGGAATGTATGCTCTTCAATCGGAAAAGGCGTCTACATGCACGTCTCTTCCGCTAAACGCAAGGTACGGTTCTACTAGATTATCAGACTCAACTCTTTCATATAAAAATAACGATTTTCTAAGAAAACAAATCGTAACATTGATAATGAGTGCCGATACGAATTTCAACTTACACAGGCATATTTACGTACTGTAAAGTTCACAATTTATCACATCTAATACGCTCACTATGCATCTAATTTTTTTTTGCTTTTGAACATAAATATGATATAGGGAATATTCTGGCTAAAGCAATAAGAAACATTGACGAAAATAGGCTAAATTGCAGTGCATCAGTATCTCCTAGCCTCTCTCAGATACATTGTCTCTTAAACACACATACAGCAAACCAAGGAGGAAATTTTAATTGGCATATATCTTAATCACTTTAGTACCTCTCACTGATTAAAGATCTAATCTAGAGAAACGAAAATTGAAAGCCTGTATTTCTAATTCAGGAACGTGTAGACTCGGCCTCGATCAATCCAAGAGGGATAACGACCGCCATTTTATGTTCGGACGCATCGATGTTTGTTGGCCTATTAAGAGGGACGATTGTTGCCGTTTTTAGTAAGATATTTTTTTAACTGAGGAGTAATTTTTCAACGTGCCTAGTGCAAACGGTGCGATAAGCACTACACAGGTCATATCGACTATGCTGGATGGCACGGCATCTTTCGTCATTAAAAATATATAAGAAAACGACCGGCTTAGATCAAGACATTAACTAATTAATTAAATTGAACTTACTTTTGTCTTATTGAAGTCGAAGACGCGGATTGCGGCCAACATTTTCGCTCGTACGATATGACGACATTTTAAGAAAGATCAACCCGTTTCTTTAATCTCAAGAAAAATTAGAATCTTAGGTTACAACGTACGTTTCTTTAGTTAACTTTCAATGCAGCATAATTGAATCATTTCTTCGGAACTAAGGCTAGGTCGTCTCGTATAGCATGCTAAAACGTACAAGATTCTAGTTTTCAATAATAATAGCATATCTCTATTGTTAATGCGGCTTCCAAATACAGATACTGAATAACACCGTGTTTATTATTTGCTTTAGTTTTCTGATTGAGCGATTCCTAAAATGAATTGCAAAGAAATGAACAGCGCTAAAACACGAATCCGGCCAAAGCGCCGGCACTGTTCCTCAGACGTCAGTTAAGGTCCTTCGCATGGTAGTTGCGCAAACCTTAAACTCCGCAGAAAGGAATATCGAGATATTGTAATGCCCAGGCCGTATTTAGCGAAAGTAAGGAATAAAAGCATAATTACAGCGCACGCGCCTATGCGTCTTACAAAAATGGTGAAAAAAGGAAGGAAACCTTTAAGGGGGCGTACGACCGCCATCTTCAACGAAGCCGAATGCCGACCCAGGATTGAGCCTTAAGTCGTTCTTAGAGGGAAGCGATTATGCATGGCCTATGTACAGCGTTTTCGCTGTTCTGCTCCAACCTATTATTAAGGTGGATTTGGAAACCGGCCTTAGGCATCGGTGGTCCGTAAGCAAATAAAGCAGGTCAACTCGTGCTTCTTTTTTTTTTTTTCGCTGCCATCGCTGTCGCCCCTTCCCCGCATAATCTCCTAATCAAAATTGAACTGTACATGTAACAATTGTATACATTATTCTATGTATCATGTGTAATAATGTAGTCCACTGCTAGTTATTGCAACCGGGTAAAAGTAATTTGTTTATTGAATTATGTCATAAGTATTATCATCTAGTATGACGCGTAGCGTAATGGAGTGTACGCACCACATCTAGTCGTACGGATGAGGTGCCATAAATTAGGAGACGTATAGCAGATATAGACTATGTATCTTAATAAGGCTAGGTATATATAGCAGAAGACCATATTTGAAAAAAGGGGAAAACACCTTTATGTAAGAGACCGCTACCCAACGTTATGCAGATTATAGAGAACGACTTATTGTATAGACCATGTTATGCATAGGAATGCGTGTAACCTTCAACGACTATTTAGATAGGGAACATAGAAAAACCATCGTAAAAGATCTTGCTAATGCTTGCACGTACGTACTGAAACAGCTGTTTGTCAGAGACGGTGGGCTTACTGGGTATGCTTGAAACCCTACATCGGCATTAAAATATCATAATATGGATATATGTTGTGTGGAAATGCATATACAATAAGAATAACTTATGTTTTCACGATGATACAGTAACGTATTTACCTAACAAACTTCAGATCGACTTTGAATAAACAAACGCCGTGCCTAGAGCTAGCGGTCCGCAACAGCGTCCAGCAGTTTGATTGCCAGACATAAAACTCGAAACATTTAATAAGAACAGATGACTTATAGCTGCGGTACGAAATATACCAGTTATGAAGTTGTAAAAACAAAAGTTACACTTCATATACAGACGACAATGAGAAAACTCAGAATTTCTGCACTATAGAATTTTCCATTCATTACAAATGCTCATCATAGTACGTATTTTATTACTCAATGAATCTTAATACAGATTTCACTAATACTGTATTAAATACGCCAGCTAATGGATCATACGAATTTCACTCTTTGCCCTTCCTCCGATCGTATGTGACGTTGTCGTGAACATCTAGGGAGTTTGACATTAAGTCGACTCCATGACCGGTGCATGCCACTTAAGCCGCTTACCTCAAATAGAGAGTGCAGGCATTCTATAGTAGTCTAAGATAGGCCTGATAAGAGCTGGTCGGCTACCTCGGCAAAACAAAGCTTTCATTCACCTGCAGCATGGTGTCTACATCGATATGAGACTGTTACGCATTACTAGACGGACTAACACTCTTTGGCCCGTTTTTTTTACAGCGTATGCCTATAGTTTAAATAGGTTGATTTCTTGATGTCACACCCTGTCGAAGTTGTACTGTGGTTCCAGTATACACCAGCTGTCACCATACTAGAGCTACCCTGCCCGCTTAATGACATTATCCGTTTACAGTTCTTCCATACTCTAATTAGAATATTATAATAGTTACGCCGGGTTGAATGGCGTACTCTTGTATCAAGCACTCAGCTTATCTAATTAACTGCAGTCCGATTGCGCGCTCATAGTTAGACGCTCGCACTTTTTTTGAGACAGTACCGTTATTTAACTTCAGCTATCCGGTATATAATAATTGTTATGCCTTTGAATTCGTTAATTTATCTGTCAAATTACGCTGTTCTACTGATTGGCTGTTTTCGGCGTACAGTTCCGCTACGATTGTCTTGCTGCAAGAATCCCATCGCCATATAGGAATTATGTTCTTTTTTTCTAGTAGAATATTCCAATAACAACCTCGTTACTGATGCCCCCAGATATCTATCATCGTACCCTATGTGTTCTACTACTCGAGGAAATAGCTGATCTAGTCTCAAAAATACTCGTTAAGTTTCGGTCTTCCACTTAATGCCAGCATATCGTTAATAGTACAAAATTTCTATTTGATTGCGATCATCCCATTGTCCTGCTAATGAGTAACTCCGTTCTCCCGTTGAAACGGCCTTAAAGTCTGCTTTACCCATGTGGCTTTCCCATTGCTATGAACCGTTTTCCGACTTCAAAGAGGGACATATTACGTAAATCTCGGAGCAGTCCCACAAAGATCACTAATTCATCCTTCGAATCGTAGAAGTATGCCACATTGTATTCCTTCCGAAAGTCCAACTTTGTAACGATGTTGACAGATTTCGAAAAAAATCAACTTTACAGTATAAGTCTTTCGCTTAATGCTTCGTAGTA